AAATTTTCTCATCTAGGAAATATCAAAAAATTTTCAAAGACCTCGGGTCGTCCAAATTTGTAGGTCTACTTTTATTTTCGATATGTGGCATCAATATCAAAACGTTGAAATAAAAATACATGCAAAAGTAAAAGTGATAATATTTACCGATGTAAAAATTTCGAAATACACATGCAAAGGTAACGATTATATAAGTGAACTTCGACTTATAAATATTTCAACATGTTGTATACGTGAAGGCACATGTTAAATAAGGCCCGAAATGTGGGTAGTTTTCTTCGAACACGAAAAATACAATAAGAACCCAAAGCACCTGGTGAAATAATTATTCCTATTATTAATATACTAATTTATGAAGTTCCATAGCCTGGCTATAAATTTAAATGCATTGACCCTTTTTAACCAACCATCATTTGGAAACCACTGAAATTTAAACTTTGTTAAGATATAGTACAAACAAGAAAACATATATTAATCCGTTATAAATAATCACCTCTCTAAACATATCTTTTGCCTGTTCGAGAGTAACTGAAGCAGTTGGTCATTTTTTTCAATTTATGATAGATGTTATTAGTATGAGTGATGTAATTTGAATATCCGAGTCCTATCTGATCCAAATTTGACTCCAAAAAGATATCCATTATCCATTATCCAGGATCAGATAAGATACTGCATCCATTATCTGCTTGAAAATTTTGTTCGAAATAATCTAAAGTAGTTAAAATAAAATTTTATTTGAATCAATCAAAATTTTCACTTTAAACCGAAAAATTTCGTGTTCCTGGATCAGAAAAGTCAAAAGCTTGTGGCACTAACAAAAGTGAAAAAAATACAATTCAGATAAACATATGAGGTCTTGCCTTGAAATCACCTTCCGACATTTCCGATCGGTTAATTCGGACAAAACAAACACGAGTACCTGTTCATGTTTAAGATAAAAGATGATTTACACATAAACATGAGCTGGCATTCGAATTTGTTTTTGTCCGATCGAAAATGTCGGGCGATTTTCAAGGCAAAGAAAGACACATTTATACTTGAAAACCTTATTAAACTAATATTGAAACTAAGCTCTGCAAATGACCATTCCAGGCATATTGGCATCAGGCCAGATAGTGCTGTGCCTGTGTCCATAAGTACAAAATTGCCAGGCGCGGGCACAGGGTGCCCAGGGTGCCCAGGCACTGAAGTGCCAACTAGTGCCTGGCATTTTACATCCATACTTACAAAATTTCTTGGCCAAATTTTTGCGTCTGTGCCTGTGCCTACACTTTTGCTAGACACCCAGGTACTAATTACGGGGAGGGTACTATAACAGGTATTTTGCATAGTTACAATTAAGGGTCTGCAAGCCGGGCTCATGCCCGTACTATAGTCAGCAGTGTACGGTAACAACATCAAACGCACAGACACTTGTTATCTAAGCAAGCAATACTATGCACACTATGCGCACAGCGAAATAGCGATCACTTTTGCATTAGATAAACAAGTGTGCAAAACGTTGTCACAAAGGGTTCTCGTGTTTACCTCTTAAAATCGCTGCATTTACACTTCTGACAAGTTTGGCAGAAACAATTATGTATTAAATAACATTATTTGTTTTCTGGTTAGTCAACCAAACTCTAATTTTATTCGATAGCTGAATTTATATGTACGTGCACACATTCTGTTAAAAATTGAATTTACTAACATATACATAAGGCTTAAAAATTTTTTTGTTCAATAGAGTCATGTGGATTCCAATAAATTATTATTTATGCCGGATTATCTCAGAGTAATAATCATAAAGTGGGAACTGAATTTAAGTGGATTTGAAATTTTTAATTAAATTCTTGACAGGAATAAGTTAAAATTAGGTTAAGTTTAGGTTTAGTGTTAAGGTTAGGGTTTGCTAGAATATAAGCTTGCATCAAATAATTCTGCTAAATTTAATTAGAAATTCTGATTCCACTTAACGTTAATTTCTGTTCTCACTTATATGCACTAACATACCTTTACAGTTTAGGAGACCGTACGTACTGTACGTACGTGCGTATGTGCCTAAAAATAGAAACTGTTACACAATTATTAAGAAAAATAGACTAAAAAAAGTTAACAAGAAATCCATTTGAGTGCAACAGCTTTCACATCGACCATTAATAAGAAAATAAACTCCAGTATAGCTTAAATTACGATAATGCATCCGTGTAACAAAATTATCTATTCTGAACCAAAGAACAAACAAAAATTTTATTACGTACGTACTCTTAGGAAAAAATGAACCATACAAAACTAATTCTCTTAATACTTAGCTTAACAAATTATTGCGTATTTATTGCGTTATTATTATTATTATTATTATTATTATTAATGAAAAATGGTCAAATATCTTTTTTTTGTTTTTTTTAACTTGCATGCAATCAATTTTTCTTAAATGCAAAATCTTAATATTTGTGTACTCATGATCCCAACAACTTTTGATTCGGGCCAAAATATTCCATATACATCGACTCAAAGTTATTTAGTAATATTGAAGGCATTAATTGTTTGTTACAGGACTAAGTATTGAATATTGTGCATATTAACTAAAGACGTCCAATCTACAAATTTTACGAAAATTATTTCCGATCCAGAATTCTGGGTTCGGAACCAGTAAAATTGCTGCATTTTGTATAACAAACTATAATGAAACCTGCATCCACATGGTTTAACCAATCAGGATGCAGGTTAGAATCATGTGATGTTTCAATTTTTGTCCCTGCCGCTATCGTATAGAAAATTTGTCCCTGCCGCTATCGTATAGAAAAATTTGTCCCTGCCGCTATCGTATTAAATTTTTTTTTTTTTTTTTTATGTTTAATTATACATATTATTCATATATTTTGAATTCAAAGATAAGCTATTCGTTGCTGTATTTTTACAAGTTCATTTTATAAATAAAAATAAGCTTTAAATAAAAGAAAAATTGATCGAAAAAAAAATAATAGGATTTGAAAAATTATCGCGTCCCTACTTCGTACACACGTACATATCGATATTGTTTGTTTATAAAAATCTGTATTAAGAAGTATAGTGGACCGATAAAAAATGTTTATGCAAAGCACATACGTACAGTACATTTAATAATAGATGCAATTTAATGCAACAGTTTCACACGTAAATCTTGTTTAGCTGCGTAAATTTTTCGCTAACCAGTCTACGCAAACTTTACTGTTTTTATATTGTATTCACATTCAATGTTATTCACATGTTTTAGTAAAGCTATAAAATGACCAAAATTTCGAGATTGATTTCTTAACCCACAATTTAATAATTATCTTGCGGTCATTCTTCCTTATCTGACGAGTAAAATTTTTACTCTCTTTTATTTGACGAAAGCATTCTTTGTTTTACGAGAAAGCATTCTGTCGTTTTATCTTAATTCTTTTTACATTTGTCAGTAAGAAGATTATCATCATGTATTCGAATAAAACTTTTAAAGTTACTTCAAGCAGCGCTAATAAAGTCGGCTCTACTACACGCAAGATAAGAAAAGCGCAAGCACCATCTTCTAAAATGCTTGATATCGAATACAATGACTATTCCTCATTTGCCAAAGTCAAATTACCCGAAATTAATGGAAACCCTACCACTGGCAATGAGATGAAGGAGGCTAGCTGTGGTGTCCCAATTATCCCAGAAGGACGTAAATCGCAGCTTATCTATCATACCCGAACTCCCTCCTTGAAACGGAAGAATGATGAAGGTTTAGCCGCTGAACTTCAAAGAAATATAAGATCATTTCAAAAAGATGATATTACAAAAATTCCTTCAAAGAGATCAACAATATGTTGTGGTTCTTTAAAAAAACTCTCTTCTGTTCGTACGAATCAATCTGAATCTATCGAACGAGTAACTAAGCATCTTCCTCCGAAGACAAAATTTACCTCTTCTGAAATTGAAGTAATGAATTTAAGGAACGAAATACTTAGAGCTAGGATAGAACTATATATCAAAGAACAAATTGAAGCTCTTAACAATACTATGCAACTTCAAGATGATACACCGGAGGTAGAATACGAACCCGATCAATTCATGGTTGAAGAAGATCATACTTCTTATAAAGATGTTCATATGGCTGAAATTAAGGATAGTTTAATGAATATCCGACAATATTGTGAAGCAATGCAATCCATGAATGCAAATTTGAATTCTGAAGTTAATCATTATAAAAATGATTTAGAATTAAATAAAAATGGTACTTCTCGATCACATAAAAAAATCATTAATAACAATAATAATAATAATAATAATAATAAGCTTAATAAAAAGCAAGTAAAAGAACACCCTCGTAGAAATTTCCATGAACATAAAGGAAATATTAAAGTATTTTGTCGCGTACGTCCACCTGTATTATCTGAATGTGAAGATATCGCTGATATTCGATTTCCTCCATATTCTTATGGCAAAAAAATTTCTCTTGCTTCTATTAAAAGAAATTATTGGGGTGTAGAAAGGGAAACTTTTAAAGACTATAAATTTGATAAGGTCTTTGGTGCTTCTGCAACACAAGAAGAAATATATACTAACGTTGCTCCCATAGTTCAATCAGTTGTTGATGGATCTAATGGTTGCATTTTCGCATATGGTCAAACTTGCTCTGGTAAGACTTATACCATGCAAGGACCACAAGATCCAACTATTTATAATGAAGGCATGATTCCACGTGCTGTTCGTCAGATATTTAATCATGTTGATGAATTAAAAACTCAAGGTTGGGAATATGAAATAGAAGGTCAATTTATCGAAATTTATAATGATAATATTCGTGATTTGCTCTCTGATGATCCTTCTAATCATCGTGGTATCAAATTTCGAACAATTCATGATGAACAAACTGGCACGACTATGGTCAATAAGGCCAAAACTGGTAAAATTTATTTATTACGTATTATACTTCATTATATAAAAATATAAATTTTTATTTATTTATTTATTTTCAAATTATAATTTATAAAATAGTGAATCTCGATTCAGTTGCGACTCTTAATTGGGTTTTACAAATGGCCGCCAAAAATAGGGCCGTTGCATCAACAAAATCCAATGCTAACTCATCTCGAAGTCACAGTATTTTCATGGTTCGGTTAATGGGTACAAATACAATTACCGGTGAAAATCGAATTGGAACATTGAATTTGGTTGATTTGGCTGGTTCAGAACGTTTATCAAAATCCGGTTCACAAGGAGATCATTTACAAGAAGCGAGATATATTAATTCAAGCTTAAGTCACTTGAAAACTGTGATTCAATGTATCAAGGAAAAGTCGGATCATATTAATTTTAGGAATTCGACTTTAACTTGGCTTTTGAAAAATTCTTTGCGTGAGTTTAGCAATTATTATTATTATTTTAATCATAATGCCTTGAATACCAAATGCTAAAATAAATTTATTTCGCATTTTGATAGGTGGTAATGCCAAAGTTCTTATGTTTGTCCATATATCACCATTAGAATCAGCAAGAGCCGAAACCGAAAGCAGTTTGGAATTCGCACGTCTTGTAAATTCCGCGTAAAAATTTATTGCATTCAATTTATAAATGTCATAATTTTTTTTTTCATTAATCTCATTACTGTAAAACTAATGTTGCCTTGTAAAGTTACGAATACCACAATGTTCCCAATTTCATTTATTGTAGAAACGTATTTACATTAACATCATAATATGATTTATTTTATTTTATATTTATTTTTCGTAGTTTTGTTACTTATTTAACAACTAGAATTGTTATATGGATATACATATATAAATAGCATTTACTAGAAATTTATACATGCTATTTTAAAGATCAATAAAATTCTACGTTAAACTTTGTACTCTATCAAGTTTTAAATTTTTACTGTAAAACTTATCGTTATATAATCTTCATTTGATATTAGAATATTCACGAGTCTTGAAAGTATAAATAAGTTATCATTGATATCATTACTTCAAATTTTGGATAATAAAGATTATTGATGAAAGGGCGTACGTATTATATATTTATCCGATAACTTACTATGATCGGGACTGACAAATAGCTATATATTACAACCGTAAAAACTGGTTTTAAATTCGGGTTGATTCGGGTTTACGAATTTATTAAAATCGCAAAACCGAATTATCTGGGTTTATTTAAATTCAGTTTACTGCTACTTTCATAATTCTTGGAACACCTGCTTGTTACCCGAAATCTTTTCAGTCGTCCGGTAAATTATCTAACTCTTTGGAAACTACATTGCTGTCTTCAGACATTCAGTCCAGAGGCAGCGATGCAATTTCCGGAAAGTTAGATAATTTAACAGGCGGCCAAAAAGATTTCGGGTAACAAAGTGGGTGTTCCAGAAATTATGAAAATAGCAGTAAACCCGGATTTGATTCGAGGAAAGATTAAATCGAATTGTATAAATAAAATCGGTTCCAACCTCTATGTGAAATCATGCAATGACGTCATTTGTTAACTAGCACTAAAAAATTAGCCTATCACCTAATCCTAAAACTAACCCTAACTTAGGCTGAACACTTAATCATATGATGCGATGACCACGAAAATATCACCGGGTTCCTTGTTCTTGAAACTACCCTACTGGTGATATAGTTGGATGTTATCTAAGTTTTAAAAATAATTTTTATACTAAAAATAGTATAAGTTTGGGTAATCTTTTAGAAATTGAGGTTTAAATTGTCTAAAGCAAAAAATAGATAAAAGGAATTGCGTGCCATCTACCTAAGGCAATCTATACCCTTGCGTTGGACTTAGATCTCAGTAGAAGCGAACTTCGGCAACGAAGGTTTAAATAGTCCGGTAAATTTATCCAAAGGGTTTAGTCATTTTTGGCTTGTTTAGAATTTAACCTTGTCAATATATATTTGGTTTGATAGCAATGATTAATGAAGACATTGGTAAAAAATCAAATAATGCATTAACATTGGAATATCAAGAAAAGGTTTATTTTTATTATAGGTGGATATAAAATATGCTTGTTAATTTAACCGATGAATTAACAAAGTCATAGAAAAAAGAACAAAGTAATGTATTTGAATAAGCTACCTATGAAAAATATTTTTTTATTATAGGCAAATATGATAAAGCATTTGAAGATTTAACTAGATTACTAGAAATTGAACCAGACAATACATTAATGCTAAGATTTCGAGGAGAATTAATTATATGATGAAAAAAGTATAAGAATCAATTGCCGACTTGGAGAAATTATTAAAATTTAAGCCAAAAGATACATTGGCAGCAGAGGCACGTGAATTAGTTAAAAGGTTGTAATTACAATATGCACTTGTAAGCTTAGATGCAAATAATAATTTGATGTCACTTTCTCGTGCTTGTCACTAATTTATGGTATGTCTGGTTTGAAGAGTTGTTTGCTGATGGGATAACTTAAAGATTCCAGGAAAGCCAAAGATTTTTCTCACTATAACTCCTAAGTGCAATAATCGAATTGTTTACAGCAAATCATTATACAAATCACGATAGATCCAATACAAAACCAATATAGCCCTATCTAGACCACTTGTGTCATATAGCTCGTAAGATCTAGTGATGCGGTAAAGTCGTCCCAATGAAGTCCCAATGGATTTTTTGATATGAAAAGTTACAAATAAGCTGTAACTCAATTTGCCGTATCTCAAAAATTCATTGGGACTTCATTAGGACGATTCTACCGCATCACTAGTAAGATCCAATACAACAAAATTAACATAACCCTATCTAATCACTGTAGTTTGTAAGTACAGTAACCAAATCTTTAGAAAACCACAATAGATCTAATACAAAACTAACATAGCCCTACCTAAATCACTTATATAACCACCATAGTGTTAAGTACAGTAACCGAATGCTTTACACAAACCAACAAAATATTTTTTATAATTTGTTTTTTTCCTGGGTCTTTATTATTAGTAAAAGAGACCCAAATATACAATTTTGTTTAATAACATTTTCATGTATATAAATACTACGCTGTGGTGTGTTCCTACAACAGGAAAATTTCTGTAAATTGAAATATTAGATCAAAATGCTATACCTTGTCCTTGTTTAGCATGGACGACTATGAAATGCTTCTTTATAATAAGACATTAAATTACTTAATAATTCAATAGAAAACTATCAAGATCAAATTCCACTCTCATCTCTTATTAAATCTTATGTTAATATTGAATAGATATTATAGTAGGTTGTTGGTTAGTGTTATCTTGTAAACTTTGTTGCGAAATTGATGTCCTGGATTGTTGAAGATTTGTAAGGGAAGTGCCATTTATTACATAATTTCTCTCACTATAAATCGCAATATATCTAATACAAAACTAACATAACCCTGTCTAAATCACTTATATAACAAGGTTTAAGAAATGTCTAAGTTTAAATGGCATTAAAATGGCAAGTCTCAAAACATCAGAAACATAAAGCTTCCGATGTAGGTTATTAATGTTTTTTAGATTATTCAATGTTTTTTAGTATGTTAAAAAAGGTTCTTCTCCAGTTATACTAATATATTAAATGTTGCATCTAATAAAGTACGGGCTTTGTCAGCCATTGAATAGTAAATGTCATGTGGAGTTTGCACATTACTATCCATTTAAGCGCACTAAGAGATCCAGAAGTTATTGTCAACCCATATTTAATAGCCAATTGTTTTTTATCCATCTTTGTTTGATGTTTAAGGTCTAAAAATTCTTTTGTAGTGCAATGCTGAAAACGTGCATTTTCAATAAAATTATAGCCTGGATTGATTCGATTGAGACATTGCATACTCTACAGCCATGAAGAGCATTATGTCACTTAATGTTTGCCAAATCATTACCTTGTGGTAAGTCTGCAGTAATGCATCTGATATCACCTATTATCCAAGCATCCCCATATAGTGTGTTCGTAATGAAACAATCTTCCAAACACTGTATATCTTTGAGCACTGGTTTAACAAAATTATCAAAAATAGCGCCAAATGGAGCTAACCCAATAAGTAAATGGTTTTTAAGCAAAACATTTCTATAGGTGCCAAAATTGGCATAGTATATTTAAAAATATTTTTAATATGGGCATTGGACGTGATGGTCTCAAAAGCCACAGGCAATTGGGAAGAATTTGGTGTTGAATAAGTCGATAGATTTCTAAGTTTGGTAGCTTATGATTTATAAATTAGGAAGATGCTTGACACAAAACAAAATCCCCTGCTCTGTAGGTGACTAATTAAATACAAAATAAGAGAGTGGAATATGATTATTTAGGAACTTAAGACTAATATATAAACTGGCAATGTTACATGTAACGGACGATTTCGTCACCCACTTGCAGATTCAAATCATTACATTAAAAGCAAAGGTGTTCTGAAGTGATTGTATACAGTAACATATCCTATAATTATTTGCAAAATATAAAATTTCAACTTACTTTTAAGATAGTAATTTTTTCCCTTGCTTCATTCATATAATCAATTACATGGAATTTTCTGGTTGCAAGAATTGCATCTTTTTTAAACGGAAGAAGGCTAAATTCATGGGTTGTATTTTGAGTATAAAAACCTTTTAAAAGAATTTTTATAGGTAAATATAAACTTCAGGATCATAAAACCTGAAGCATCAACTACATAGTATATTTGCAAGAACTTAATCAATAATCAGTTACATAACAGTACCCGACATATTTTTAAGTAGCAGAGAGAATTTTGACAACATTCATTTTTTAATATAAATGATATACTTCAACGCGGTTTACCAACATTATACAAATGACAATATATATCCATAAATAATTAGATTCTAATCCTGATTTTCATATTTTGTATAACATACAAAGATAGGGCTTTTGATCAGGCTTAATTAGAATAATAAAAATAAACACAACGATAATAAAATGAATACAAAAGTTACGGGAAATGTGGCTGATAGAAATCAACGAGTCACGTGTATATTAGACGAAAGTCTAGTTATGCCACAAAAAAAGCGTTGGTCCAGTGAAATCCAAGCCATTCCAGTCTAAGTTAGTACCACACGATTTAAATATACATATACAGTCACACCCCTCTAAGTGCATCCTGTCGGGACCATAGTGAAAAAAATTAAAATTTTGCACTTAGAGAGTGTTTGCATTTATAGAGAGTAAAATATATAGGATTCTTATAAGTTGGGGCCAACCTAGATCGTGCATTTAGAGAGGTTTTACATAGTACTTGCACTTAGGGGGTGTGCACTTAGGGGGGTGCGACTGTAGATAGATCTATATGAAATAATTTTATTTTTATTTAAATATTACTGTATTATAATAAGTCATGTATTTGACATGTTTTAGCTTAAGAATCACAGGATTGACGCTTTTTATGACATGACTAAGCTCCGTGTATTTCAACATTACAGCTCTTCCACGCTAGTCAGGTTGCTTTTAAAGCAGGCACACATTAGGGCTTAGCGTCCCTATTAAATATAAGCCATAAAATATTGTGAACAGACCTAACCAATCAGATCATTAGCAAGTTCCATACGATACGACACTGCTATTCTAATTCTAACCCAGCTTTAATGCTTATCGTTATCATATGTGTTGATAAGGTTAGCCTTAGCCATGCCGTGTGTATATCAATATATCAACATGTTGGTATATACTGTATAATCTTCTCTTACCGATCATGCATCATACTAAATCACAGGTCT